AAGAGCCCCCTCTCTCCATTTCAGCCCATGAGCCAGACACAGAGGAAGCTGATAGAGGGGAAAGACTCCGTCCTGCCAAGCAGGAGACCAAGCCTGGAGTGCAGGTGCCAGCCCTGGGGAAGGGAAGTACACCACTGGGCAAGGCCACACCAGGGCAGTGCTGAGCAGGTAGGAGCTCTCCTCACCATCATGCCAGGCTCTCCCTTTTCTCCTCTAGCACCTTCAAGGCCTGGGTTCCCCTGAAGACAAGCACAACAGGAAATCAGAGCTGTGAGACCAGGGCAGCAGCTCTCCAGGCCAGGAGAGCCTCTCTGCAGAAGCCCAGGGTGGGCTCAAGGTTGAGCTGGCAATTCAGGGCATCCCACCAGAGACACTCACGCACCTGTTCTCCTCGCTCACCAGGGATCCCTGGGACTCCTCGGGTACCTGCCACTGACTCCCCAGAGGGGCCTCTTTCACCCTGTGGCAGGAACACACCATGAGAACCGGTCCAGATTCAGGTCTAGGGCTGGGCTGCTGGAGGGATCCCGCAGACCACGCACAGACCCACCCCCTCCTCCCAGAGGCTCCCGTAGGTGCAGAGAGGGCACTAGGGCCACAGCTGCCAGCTGGCTTAGCCCCACCTGTTCTCAGAGGTTCCTCAACCAGATCCAATATGTTAGGCTCTACTCCCCAACAAGGGGAGCCAGGGTCCCATGGCCAGGGAGGAACCCAGCTCTGTGGGAGAGCCCCCTGGGCCAGCCCTGGGCAGTGCTAGAGCTGGTCTGGGGAGTGAATAGAAGGTCCTGGGAACCACCTGAGCCCAGTGCTTCCAAACAGCCCGAGCGAACACTGCACCCTTGCAGAACGCCATGGCAGGCCCTTGCCAGCATTACTGAGGCCCCAGAGTCCCCCAGGAGACAAGGTAACCATCCCAGAGCTACAGAGGAGCCAAGGCAAGTACCAAACTCAGAGGCAGTGACAAAGTTCTGGGAATGGAATTCAGGAGCCCCGATTCCCAGTCCCAACCACAGGGCAACACTGCCCTTGCCTCCTGCAGACCTGTCTCTGCCCACTGCTCGCTGCACAGGGGCCTTCAGAGGGAGAGGCTCCTTCCCAGAGTCTGTCCCTGCTATTTGTTGCCAGGTCCCTCCTCGCTGCCCTTGGGATGGGGAGACACCAGGAAGAACTGAACCAGATGGGGAAGAGGAACCTCCACAAACTGGCTTGTGAATCCTGCAGGCACAGGCTAGAGGCCACTGCTCCCACCTGACCTAGGCAGCAGGAAGGAGAGGGGCTGGGTTTTGGGGTCCAGTGCTCTTCATTGTGGAGGCAGTGGCTAGCCATCCAAGGTATCTGTGTAGTGGGGACGGGGTTCTCACCTTTTGTCCTTGAATGCCCTCAGGGCCCTTGGGTCCAACGTTCCCTGGTGGGCCGGGTGGCCCAGGGGCTCCATCGCTGCCCCTAGGCCCCGAAGCACCTATAATACCTGGAGCACCCTAGGGAGAGAGCAGAGAGTCAGGCAGGGCATGACTGCTGTTCCACGCATGGGGCAGCCAGAGTGCAGATGCCGCTAAGCCTGGCACCAGGCCCTCATTGGGTCAGCATAGGACAGGCCTGTTCTGCATGCCACAGACACAGTGCCAGCACTTGCTAACTTATCATGGGACTTGTAAGAGGTGGGTTTGCTCTCCTTAAAGCCCCTGTCTCCTAGCAATGGAAATGAGCTTAAAAATATGACCTGAAAGCTCAGAAACCAGAAGGAACCACACATTGGTCATCTGTAACCCCTTGGGATTTGCAAATCAGTGCTGTGATTCCTGAGGGTCTGAGGCCCGACCAGGAAGCACCAGGGTTAGTGACAGTGTCCGCCCTTCCCCTTCTCTACTGTCTGGGTGCAGGATGACAGCAGGGCAGGTCACGGATAGTCTGAGCCAGACCTCCCAGGGTGCGTCTGCTCTCAGTGACTAACAGCTCTACACCTGGACTGACCCTGCTGAAATCCTGCTTTTGTCCCAAAAGCACTGGCCCTGCCAGGTTGGCATCCTGAGGATAGCAGGAAGTTCAAGGGGTTCAAGCCAGTTTTGGGACCCTCATCTCAGTTATACGATCACCACAGGCCTTCTGACAGCTGAGTCTGTCTATACACTGGGCAAGGTGTGGGCCTGGACAGCTGCCAACAAGCACTTGAAAGCTCCCTGGCCATCAGGAAGCTGCAGGCAACTCTGCCAGGCCATCAGGCTAGGGCTGGGAGCTGCTCTGGGAAGGTCACCAGAGGCCCAAGAACTTAGGAGCAGGCGCTGACCCTGTCAAAACTCTCACAGACATCCAGGATGGGAACACGGCTTTTCATGTGGCATAACTCACCCGGTCCCCCTTTTCCCCCTGGTCTCCTTTGGCTCCTTGCTGCCCATCAAATCCCCTGTCACCCTGTGAAAGTAAAGAGCCAGGTGGTGTTTCTGTGTGCTTTTGGGGAGAAGGATGGAGGGAGGTAGTACCTATTGGCAAAGCCCCCAGTGTGGGGTATGGGTACAGATTCCCAGCATGTTAAAGCTCATTTCCCTACGCAACAGGGTACTCAAGGTATGGCCTCCAGAGTGCTCCTCATGGCAGCCAGCGAGAAAGAGCCTGGCACAGCATGGAACCAAAGCTGCTGGCACGCCACATGGAGCTGCTGGGGTGAGGAGGAGGGCAGAGCTTCCTCCCTGTTGGAGCAGATGGGACCCTCTTCGGGGTTTCTGTGCCCGCAGCATGCAGCTCCCAGATGACCAGGCAGGGAGGAAAGCACTTCCCCTTTCAGCACAGGTGAGGGTAGGACAGGGACCTGGGAGACCCCCTGCAGATCCTGAGGAAGGCATCCACACTTGTGCGCTCAGGCTGCCCTCCCCAGAGCTCAATATGCAGGGCAGAGCTGTGGCACAAGGCCCTGGAGACTTTGCAGCCTCCACTACCAGCACTGGAGACCTCCAGCTCTTGGTGCCCGGGACTATGGGCACGCATCAGTTAACTAACACCAGCTCCAACCCAGGCACCTGAGTGGGGAAACCAGCCAGTCACAGCCCCACCGCCCTTCCCTCCCTCCCCAATTCATGCCCCCATTTCCCTACCTTGGGGCCCATGAGGCCTTCTTTCCCAGGGATCCCTGGGGCTCCCGACATGCCCAGCTCTCCCTAGAGAAACAAGCAGAGGTTCATTAGGACTGCCAACGCGTGCTCCCCTCAGAGTGCCTCAGTGCCAGCTGTGTGCTTACCGGCTCACCCTTCCGTCCTGGCAGTCCTGGTCGGCCTGGCATCCCTGACTCCCCCTAGAGTGGGCAGAGGAAGATGTGTCAGTAGGGATGCCAAGAAGGGAGGGAAAGCAGCTTGACTCCTGCTCAAACACAGGGGCTGCAGGGTAGGACCAATCCGAGGCATCTTCTGTCTTGTGCTGTGTCAGCATTGACAGCAGTCATACAAAGAGTTTAGGTGATGGATTGTACAGGATGGTTTGGACAGGGCTGGTCCTGCCTCAGGCAGGGGTTGGACTAGATGACCTCTGGAGGTCCCTTCCAGCCCAACATCTCTAGGATTCTATGAATTCCTGTAGAGAGATGCTGCAAGGCCCTTCTCCCAGAGGTAACTCCACTGGCACATCCAACCCACAGCACAGTCCCACCTTCCTGCCACACTGGGATCCACCTCTGGGCCTGAGCTGCTGACAGGCTGGAGAGGGGACCCTGGCACTCACCTTCTCCCCCTTGCTCCCATCCTGGCCGCAGGCTCCCTTCATTCCCCGGTCTCCCTGCAGGGAAGAGCAGGGGTCACAGTATCACAGAGGGGCAGAGACAGTTTGCTCCCAGCACTTGGCCCTGCTTTGAAGGGGGACACTAGGCACCACAGACAGGATTTGTGCTGGGCCCCAGGTTTCAGGCTGGAGCAGGACTGCCCACCTTGCAGGTGGTGCCACCACATCAGAGCCTGGGAGACTACAGCCCCTAGGAAGAGGGCGCAGAGCAGTGCCCACCCCATGGCAAGCCTGAAGCCTGGGGTCTCCTGGGACTGTCCTCAAGCCGACAGGGAGAGAGGCCTCTGTTTTCCTCTGCCATGCCCAAGCACTGTACCAGGCTCAGACAGGTGGGGCTCTCTCATGGTCACATGGGAGATGTTTCATAGTTTCATAGTTGGTATGGTCAGAACGGACCTGAGCAGATCATCAAGTCCAACCCCCTGCCATGGTAGGAAAGAGTACTGGAGTCAAACGACCCCAGCAAGGTGTACATCTAGATGGACTGAGGCAAACTCCCCACCTTAGGACCACGTATTCCCATTGGTCCCATGTCGCCCTTCTCTCCTCTTGTGCCAGGGATCCCGTCCTTTCCTGGCTGCCCCTGAAGGAAAACAAGCACAGAGTGACCCTGGGGCTCAGCACCTGGCATGTAGGGGGCATAGCAGAAAAGGGCTGGACCTCACCGGCTCTCCAGGCTCTCCTGATTCACCGACTTCACCCTGCAAGAGGGAAGACACCTGGTCAGGACTGGCAAGGCTGTGGGCATCAGTGAGGTCGCATACACACACACAGGTATGGTCAGGGCAGAGTTGGAGCTGCATGTGTCAGTGAGGGGCCCCAAGCATGCACTGCCCAGGGCTGGCAGGGCTGCGTGCATGGCTAGGTATGTGCTCACATCTGGCAAGGCTGTGTGTCAGCAGGGGGTGAGTGCAGACAGGTTACGGCTATCTGTGTTTGGCAGGCACATGTGTTCCCTGCCTAGCATGCACACACACACACAGCCCCCACTCCTCTACCCCATGTGCAGGCTCAGGCCTGCCTGTGGGAACGCACTTACCTTCTGCCCATCAGGGCCACGGGCTCCTGGGAAGCCTGTGGAGCCCTTATCGCCCTGCTGCCCTTTGACACCCTGTGGGGCAAAAGAAGAGGTCACTGCCTGGCACGAGAAAAGTGCCCCCTGTTCCCCTGTACACGCAGGGGCACGGATCCGCTGGCAGCTCACTCTAGGCTCAAACAACGTCTTACCAATCTGAAAAGATGCCTGATGACTTCACCTGAGGCAGGGGCCCCCAGCTCCTGCCCCCAGCGCTGGCTCCTGCCAGTGTCCCAGGGGAAGGAGGCATCCCATTGGGCTGAGCGTATCAGCCACTGTACCACTGTGTGACAACTGGGGCTGGGTGGGACAGGGAACACCAAGCTATCCCTGGAGCTGTTTCTGCATAGTCCCACACTGGGTCATGCCCCAGCAGTGCCCCAGTGCTGGCTGCAGCCCCAGGCCCTGAAGCTCCCACAGATACTGGTTTAAAGCCCCTGCCCCACACCAATTGCTCTCCCCTGTCGAGGGCTCACATACCTTCTCGCCTGGGAGGCCCTGGTCCCCTTTGTCGCCTTTATCTCCCTCGTTCCCCTTCAGGCCCCGATCTCCCTGGAGTGGGGAGGAGCAGAGGAAGAAGAAGTCAGATCCCCACAGAGGCAAGGATTTGACATGCAAGGAGGACTCAGATGGGAAGAGGTCTTGGGCAGAACCTTGCTGTAGCTAAAGGGAGACGGCTGAGGAGGCCTGTGAGGGAAGATCTGCACATGAACCCTAAGCAGGGAGCGAGGTCACACAGGGCTAGAACCACCAGCAGAAGTCTCCCTGCTGGAGTAAATCCTCCCCACAAAGGGAAGGACATGGTCCTGGGAAGAGCCTATACCCACTCCGGCCCTGGGGAATGGGGCTCCATCTGGGCTGGGGCACTCACCGGTTCACCCTTGTTGCCACGGGCCCCCGCCGGTCCCTCAACGACAATGGTGTCACCCTGCACAGCGAAAGACAATGCAGTGAGAGATCAGCATGCACCTTCTCCAAGCCCTGCCACACTGCAGCTCCCAACCCCACCAGCTCAACAGCATCACGTGCTGCTGCCCACACACCTGTCTGCTGTCTAATGTGGCCAGTTCCCCAATGTCCACTGTGTGGTGGACCTCACCGCAGCACAGGAGGGGCCACAGACCCTGCCAACATGGCTGTGAGAGTGTGGGGGCTACTGTCAACTGACTGGCCGCTCTGGGGCCAGGAAGAGGTCACGGTGGGCAAGACCCAATACCGACAATTGGCACTGGGGGCAGACAGGCCGTAGCAGCAGTGGGGGCACAGCAACAGATGAATGAGGCACTCACCTTGTCTCCCTTTAAACCCATTGGTCCCACGTCTCCCTGTGGGGGAAGGCAGTACAGTGAAAGACCTACCTCATGTGGGGTGGGGGGTCCCATCTCAGCCAGGACCCACCTGGGCACCACAGCCCCATGCTGACACTCCTCCCCAACTGCTTGGGACAGGGAGGCGAGGAGCCAGACTCCACCGGACATGAGGGGATGAGGGTCTCTGGAAGGAGACCCCAGACTGGACTTGAGGACAGCGCTCAAGATGGGCTGACTATTTGAACCAGAGGCTTGGAGAAAAGCTGAGCTGGAGGGAGAGCTTAGGCTTCCCTGGAGACAGCCCATGTCCCAGTGGGTGGCGGGGAGACATCCAGGGGCAGCTCCCTGCCTGCCCGACTCCAGCCCTGGCCCCTGCTGGGATGCACCAGGCAAACAGGCTCCCACAGTCACCAGACAGTGGGGGCAGACTGAGGGGAACTGCCCACCCCCAGCTGCCCCTTCCTTCCCCCCCAGCACTGTCCTTACTTTGTCACCTCGCTCCCCTCGGTTCCCAGGCAGCCCCTAAGGAGAAAAGAGAAGGGGAGTTACTGTGCCTGCCTGGGGCATAAGCAGAGCAGAGCCCCAGCGGGAGGGGCAGGCAACGGGTGTGGGGGGTGCATTTACCGCAGGCCCACGATCACCCTCCAGCCCTGGGCGCCCATCTTCACCCTGAAAAAGGAAGATGACAATGAGACAGAGCTGGGAAGTGGGGGCCAGGCAGGGAGGCATGCTCCCTGTGCAGGATGAGGGCAGAGAGGCAGAGCTCAGGGCAGGAACCTGAGCCTGAGGAAGTCCTGGGCATGGGAAGCCTCCTGGGTAGTCAGCGCGGGGCTTGTCTCAGACCCAGACACAGGGTGGGCCCCAGGGGCTCCCTGTTCCACAGGCCACACTTGAGAGGAGCCGCATTACAGCCCAGAGCCAGGGGGCTGCCAGACTTCCCAGAGCTACAGTGCTATCCATGGGAGCTGCCTCATGGCAATACTGGACACTGGTCGAGGTGGGGTGAGCAGGGTCTGAGTGCGGGTGTGAGGGAGGGGAGATACGCACCCGAGGCCCTGGGTCTCCTCGCTCGCCTCTGGCTCCTGGCAGCCCTGTCCCCACATCTCCCTGTCACACAGGGAGGGAGAGAGAAAAGCCCATCTGTGACCCTGCAGCTAGTGGCAGCCTGCTTACAGTGGCCTGAAGCAAATGCCCTGCTGCAGTTGCCCCACTCCACAAGCTGCCCATGCGCTCCATCCCAGCCCCTCCACACCTCTGAGCTTGGGCCCCAGCCACAGCCCCTGCCACAGATCTCCTGACATCACAGTGCCCAGGGAGAGGTGTGCTCCCTCGCCGCACTGCTCCCCTGAAGCTTCCCAGGGAGGATCCACCAGCCACCTGCTCCTTGCCTGCAGGGCTCTGCTGGCTGCTGGGCAGGGGAGTGTCTTTGCTGTCTGCTGGGCATGTGGCAGGACAGGCACTTGCTTGTCCTTCTCAGCCTCCACAGCCGGGCTCCACTGTTACCCCCCACCCCCATGCTCTCAAACACCAGCTTCTGCAGAGAGGGTGGCTGCACAGGAAGAAGGGCAGTCAACAGGCCTTGGCAGGGAGGTCCAAGACACCCCAGAGAAGGTGGCGATGAGAAGCCTCTGCCATCACCCGCTGCATCAGCAGGGCAATCCCTGGTGCTCCCCACAAGCCCGGCTCCTTGGGGAGATGGGTGTTCATCCAAGGAGCAGAGGATATCCAAGAACCCACTCCAAGACCCCCACCCAGCCCATCCAGAGCAGCAGGAGCTGGATGCAGTAACAGGTGGAACCAGAGCCTACCTTGTCCCCCTTCAGTCCTGAGATGCCCGGGGTCCCCTGAAAGGAAAAGAGGCAGATCAGTGCTTCCCATGGCCCCTAGGGTCTGCTCCACCAGAGGCAGCACAGTAAGAAGGCAGCTCACAGCCACCCTGTGAGACCCCCTCACACACCTTTCCGCCCCTCTGGCCTTGGGTGGCAGCAGTGGCACAGCAAGGCTAGCTGATGGAAAGGCCTTCAGCTGAAGAGGAGCTGTCTGTCCACACGCGGCCAGTGGAGCAGCTCAGAAATGCTCATAGGGACTCGCTAGCCCTGCCTTGAGTCTGGAGGAAAGCATGGACTCCAGTCCCCAGGGACACTGGGGCGAACGAGATTTCTCTGTCCAGCAGCCACACCAGCAGCCCACCTGCCCTCAGCACGGTCACAGCCCCTTTGAGTCAGGTCCAGCCACACATATGTAGGCCCCTCAGTTTTGGCAAAGCCTTCTGGGTGTGTCTGAGTCTCAAAGAGGCTCCCTGTTGGCTCAGTCACTCCCAACCCTGGGGTGAGCTCAGATTTCCCAGGGGCAGCTAGACTAATCCTGCAGATACTCACAGCATCCCTCTCCCCCAAGATCCCCTAACCTCCGAGATACATAAGGAGGTGGGGAGTTAGGGAAAGCAGTGGCTGTGCTGTGTGAAAGCCAGGTGCCATCCTCCTCCTCTTCCTCCTCCTCCTACCAGGCTGCAGCCAAACGCAGCCCCTGTTGGGTGGTATCAGACATCTAGTACTCACAGCTAGCCCTGGGGGTCCTGGGGGACCTGGTGGTCCAGTGGTGCCATCTCTTCCAGGAAAGCCAATCAAACCCTTGAAAAAAAGCACCAGTCATCAGTAGAGGCCCTGGCATTGTGGTGTCACTGCTTCACTACAAGCCAAGGCCTGGGGCTGCCCTGGCACTGAAGGGAACCTGGGGAAGGCCCCTCCCAGCAGAGGCCAAGCCTGGGCACCAGGGCAGCTCTCCTTTACTGAGAGCCCAAGGACAGGGCCCACAAGCAGGCCACCCAAAGACAGCAGCCCCCGGGCTGCTGCTGCAGCACTGAGCAGGGTTGCAGGCAGGGAGACTCCTGGGTCCCACCAGCATGGAGTGGAGAACCCAGCTCAGTTAGGGCAGGTGCTGCCATGTTGGAGTCACACAGCCAGCAAGCAGGGTGGAGGAATGAGTAGGGGAAACGCACCGAGTCCTTTGAGGGGGCACTGCTGGGTGCCCCGACAGTCCAGGATGGGAGCTGGCAGAAGGCATCAAGACAGGGGAGGGCGAGAGGAGTCCTATCCAGTCTTTACCATCTCTTATTCCCATGAGCCTTGGGGCTCCAGGGTTGCAGGGGCCCTGCTGGCCAGAGTCAAGGAGCCCAGAAACATCTCACAGACTCCAGGGACACTGTGCAGGCTGCCTTTGTACCACACATGGTAGGGCCAAGTCTAGGGCAGCTTCTGGGTCCCTGCTGTCACACTGCTGACTGACCCTGGCTCTGGCACCAAAGGGGGGGTCCCCACAGCCTGAGCTGGGGTCCCGTGTTTTAGCAAGGGCTGGGGGGAGAGGGGGAGAGCTGTCACTGTATGAGCAAGTCATACAAAGGGAGGCTGAAAGACTTGAGACTGTTAAGCCTGGAGAAAAGAAGACTCAGAGAGGACTTGGTGGCAGCCTATAAGTATATAAGGGGTGCACAGAAGGGCCTGTGGGAGCATCTGTTCACCAAGGCCCCCCAGGGGAAGACAAGAAACAATAGGCACAAACTGATTGAAAAGCACTTCAGACTGAACATATGGAAAAACTTCTTTACAAGTTGAGTGCCAAGGGTCTGGAACAGGCTCCCCCCAGAGGTGGTACCGTCACCCACCCTGGCAAACTTCAAAAACCATCTGCACACGCACCTTGCTGGAGTCATCTGACCCCAGCAGTCTTTCCTGTCCACGTGCAGGGGGGGCTGGACCTGATAATCTTGTAAGGTTCCTTCCAGCACCTAACAACTATGAATCTATGAATCTATGAAACCTTCATGCTCAAGGTTTCCAGGCCTGGCACATTGCTTACCCTCTCTCCTGGAGCTCCTGGGGGCCCTGGCTGTCCATTTTCTCCCCTCAGGCCAGGCTGGCCTGGGGTCCCTGCGATGCCTGGTGAGCCCTGGGGTCCTGGTGGGCCTGGCAAACCAGTGTCCCCCTGGCATGGAGACAGGAAGGCAGTGCTGCAGAGCCTGGTGCTGGGGGAGGACTCATGAAGCTGGCTCTGGACCACTAAGGGTGGAACAGAGGGCCAGGGCCTGTGTCCCCATCAGGAGACTGGGGGTTTGGTGGGGAGAGGGAGGCCTGGGGGAGGGAGTGGGGGAGTAGTGGTGGACTGGCCAAGCACCAGAAGCAGGGGAAGGGGCTTGGGCTTGGGCAGGGTGAGGGGCAGGATAAAGGCTGAGACAGGGGAGGGAAAGCCTGATAGCCTGCTCCCTGTGCAGTACCAAGGGGTCACGGGCTTTCCCTGGCTGGGGGTCTCTGGGGGGTGTCATCTTCCAAGCAAGTGCTTTGGAAAGGTAGATCAGTGCCAGGAACCCAGCAGTACAACAGGGAGACGAGCACAGGGGAAGGGAAGGGAAGGGGCCAGCCAGGGGCAGCATCAGGAACAGAACCCAGGTGTCCGGATTCCTTGTCTTGCCTTTTGGCTCTGTAAACACTGTCTGTGCAAAACCCGGGCTAGCAAAGCTCCTGAAGAGGTTACCTTCAAGCCAGGAGGCCCATCCTGCCCAGGGGGTCCCTGCAGGCCGATCCCAGGCGAACCCTGAATGGAGCATGGGAAAGAGAAATGGTAGGTCGTGAGCACACTGGGCAGATGGCCCTGGGTATGTGGGAGTGAGGCGGAGCTGACACTGGCTCCCAGGGAGTGAGGTGGTAGGAATAGGCCAGCTACCAGCAGGGCAGTGCCCATGTCACAAGCCATGCCGGCTCTGCAGGTGCTGCTCCTTGCTGGCAGCCTGACTGAATAGGCCTTGGAGAAGGGGTTTCCTGGATGTCCCTCCAGGGCTGGGGACACTGGCAGTGTCACTTCCACAGCCACAAGTGCCAGGTTTAAGCAGGGCCCTGCCTGGCCTATTCAGACTAGCCGGTCATGCTGGCTGGTCATGGTGGGCTCTGGGTGCCCATGCTCCAGCTCGGGAGGACTGGGGGACACGCACCTTCTCCCCTTTGACTCCATGCGATCCTTTGGCTCCCTGTTAACATACAAACATGAAAAAATACAATGAGGCCAATGCTGTACATTTGTACACACGTGTGCCAACACATGGGCTTAAAAGCACCTGTATGCAGTGTGGGGCTGAGCAGGAAGTGGGGAAGGACACCACCTGCCTCCAACCCTGGCCTCTGCTATCCCCATCTCTGGCCAAATCCCTGCCCTCCTTCTGCATGGTACTTACATCTTCCCCAGGGTCTCCAGGCTCCCCTGCTCTTCCAGGCTCCCCCTGATGGAAGAGAAGAGAGACAGAGACTCAGCAATGGGAAATGGACTGGGTCAGATACTTGTGGGGAGACAGTGAGCAGAGAGGGGCCCCTGCAGGGGCAGGGCTGTTCCTCACCGTATCACCCCGGGGGCCAGGTAGGCCTCGATCACCCTTGGGACCCTGCAGAAGAGAGATCAGAGTAGTTATTGGGGCAGGGGCTGGAGGAACAGGAGGGGAAAGGTGCAGGAAAGATCCACTTACAGGTTTGCCCAGCAGGGCCCCATCCATCTGCCCAGGCTCACCCTAGAGAGAAACACACAAGGGTCAGCACTTGTGGCAACCCCACTGTGTCCCCAGAGTGCAGGTTGCCCGGCACCCCTACAATGTGAGCCCTGGGCTTCCCACCCTCCTCCCACCCGTGGCTGCCTCCAGAGCTCCCTGGCCCCGATCCCGGCCAGATTTCAGGTAACACCTGAACACAGGGGCTGCACAGCACCATGTCTCCAGCCTGCCAGGCGTGGGCTCGTGAGGGGTTAGCTTGTTCCAGACTGCTGAAGCCCCCCTGACTTTTTGGCCTCTCTTAGCCACTCACAATATTACTATTGCACCTGCAGGGCCAGAGAGGGCAACAGAACCCAGGATCCCTGGCTCTTTGTCCTCCTACCCCCCCCTAAAGCTTCCCATACTGATTTCTATCACGTGAGCCCCCAGCAGGCCTCTTACCTTCTCACCCTTCATCCCAGAAAGCCCGACAGTGCCCTAGAGACAGGGGAAATATGGATGTTTAACAATAGTGGTGCTGGGGAGTGCTCCCTCACCATGGGGCATGAAGCAGAACACAAAACCTTCCTGCTTCACCATGGCTTAGGCACGAGGAGGGTAACACCCCCATATTGGCAAGGTGACTGCAACAGCTGAGCCCTGGGGCTATTCCTACCACTTCCAGGCCTGGAGCTAGAAGCTTACACAGTGATCCAAGGCCCCTGGTGCCCTTTCCCTAAGGGATTTGCGTTAAGGATTCCTGCAGCAGGAGAGGATGAAATGATCTCCGAGCCCCACAGCCCATCACTAAACCACCCCTACCTGAGGCTGGGAGCAGGGCAGGCCCCTGGCTCCCCCTGCCCCGAAGCTAGGCTCAACGGGTGGGGAGGGAGCTAACCACGGGAGGCAGGGGCATGAGGGGAACGTCTGCTCCAAAGCCATGGCAGGGCTGGCTTGGCCCCACCCCACCTCGCAGGGCTGGGTCTTGCATGTCTTACTCCCACAGGCTGCAGGGAGCTGGTACCATGACACTGCAGGCTGCAAAAATAAGCTGGAGAGACCATATCTCACTCACCTGCCCTGGGGGCCCAGCGTTGCCTGGCTCTCCTTTGGGTCCAGCAGGGCCTGGTGGTCCCGGGACGCCCTGGCACACAATCCACATGACCATTAGCCTTGACCTGAGGAAGGTGGGATGGGTGCTGCCCTGCCCCACCTTCCCACCCCCTGCCCCCACTCCAGCCCCTCTGCTCCACTGCAACCACATCAGCTCCCCCTGTGGGAGGCGGGTATTACATCAGAGGTCAATCCCATGGGAGAGCTGACTTCAGTTGTCTGCACTCTCCTACCCATCCAATCCTGCTAGTCCTCCCATGTGCCAGGCTGCGCTGGCAAAGCTACACAGCCCTAGGTTACCAGCCAGGCTGTTGGTACTGTGTCTGTAGCTTGCAGCACAGGGCCCTCCTGTCTCTTCCACCTGGAGCTGGCCTCACCGAGGCAGGAGACTACCCCGAGAGTCCAGAGCCAGGGCACAGTGGGGGTGAGACCCAGTGTAATGGGATGCAGCATTTCCAACCTATGCAGTCACTTGAGAACCCAGGTGATGGGAACAGTTTGAGCCTGGCTGCCACGGCCCTCCCCACTGGAGCGTCTGGTACCCCAGGAGCCCATCCTGCCAGCCCCTTTCAGACACGTACCATTTTTCCTGGCAGCCCTGCCTCTCCCTCCTTCCCTGGTACACCATCTCTGCCTGGCACGCCGGGCTTTCCACTCTCCCCCTAGGGAACAGAAAGGACGCTACTGGAGCAACTGGGGCCAGCAGAGCAGACATTTTACACCAGAGCTGGCCCCTCTGCTGGGTTTCCATGACGCCGAGAATGGAAATGAGAGCTTCATCCACTGATGGGGCAAGAGGGTGCCAGGGCCTTGCCTGCTCTGCCAGCAGGGCCTGGTACGCAGACACCGAGAGCCAGGATGGCAATGGTGGGACACAGGGCGGGCCAGCAGCCAAGCCATGTCCATGGGGAAGGGACCGTGTCAAACTCACCACTTGTCCTGGCAGTCCTGGGGTGCCCTGTGGTCCCTATTGAACAAACACATGCAGGAATCACACAGAGAAGGAGGAACGGAAACCACCGTCCTGGGGTGCAGCATGGAGATGACTCCTGCTCCACACCTACTACCTACCACGAGGCCAGGGGGCCCTGGTGGGCCTGGGAGGCCGACATTGCCCTGGGGACCAGGCAGGCCCTGCAATGGAAGGAATGCACATCAGAGAGCAGTGGGAGCTGCCCCCTCAGGACAGCAGGGAACAGTACCCATAGAGCCCAAAAGGAAGGGCCCTGTCATGGCAGGACTGTACCCCTTAGAGAGGTCCATGCCTGCCTGAGACCAAGCTAGGGTCAGAGCAAGTAGAACAGACTGCTGAGGGAAGCTGTGGTCTCTCCATCACTGGAGGTGTTCAAGAAGATGCTGGACAGCCACTGGTTGGGGATGGTCTAGGCAGAGCTTTGTCTGTGTTCTACGATGGTTATTTCCCAGGCTCCTGGGCTTTGCTGGGTGCCTCCTCTTT